AGATATATTCATACTTTCTTCTTCTTCTCAAATAATATATGGGTATCATTAACAACAAACAAAAACCACACGCACACACATGAGTTCCCTTCCCCCACATCAACCAACCGTATGCTGCGCCGCCGCCACAGCCTTAATCTTCGCATTCCGCCTCTCCTCTTCCCTCCTCGCCTCAACACCAGCCAAGAACTCCATGCGACCCAGGTACGCCTCTTTCGTCTTACCATGTGTATCCAGTTCCTCTGCGATACCTTCTTTATCGACGAAGCCCGTCCAGTCCATGCGTGACTTGTCGACGACGTTGAGTTTCTGTGTTTTCTCTGCTTTCTTGGGGAGTGCGGCTGTGTCTACTTCTGCGGCGGTTTCGAGTTCGGGTCGGACGTTGGTGCGGGGCCAGGAGAGTTGGAATTCTGGGGCGAGGGCGCGGACGTAGCCGGTTGGGTTGGGATCGAAGCGGGAGGGGCGGCGGAGTGGGCGGCGGATTTTGGAGTCGGGCTGGCCGGAGGAGTGGGCGGGCGATTCTGCGGCGGGTGTGGCTTCGGTTTGTTTCCAGCCGTCTTTGAGGTACTTGTCGAGTTGGGAGCGGGGGATTTGCTTCTCTTCGGTTGTGTCTTGGCCGGCAAAGGTGAAGGTTTTTTTGACGGTGAGCTGTTCCTCTTCCTCGGCAGATGCTTGGATGTTGGTCACAGGTGTGTGCTGCGTTGGCGCATCGGCTTCTTGCATCTTGGACTCTTGTAGCGGTTTCAGAGGCGCTGCCATCATCTGAGCCCATAGCGCATCGACATCGACAGTCGCGCCCTCGGTTCTTGCAAGTGGCCTTGCCTCTTTGCCCTCTGTTCTTCTTTGTGCCCGCGTCTTGACCAGGCCGCCCTCCCCGCCTTCATCGTCGGATATGATCAGCTCGGCATCGTCGTCTTTGTTGCCCTTGTTCCCCTTCTTCTTTGACCGCTTCCGTCGCGCAGCTTGTATGGTGACTTCATCTCCAGAATCCAGCTCCACATCTTGAGGCACTTTTCGCTTGCCTTTGCGCTGTGCAGGTTCTATGGTGACATGGTCTTCGTCCTCAGAGCTCGATGCGTCTTCGGCCGGGGCGGCATTGGGGTCAAAGTCTTCGTCGGATGACTCGTGGTACTTGTCTGAGGCAACTTCAAGGTCCTCGTCACCGTATGTGTGAGGCATGGTGGATGCTGAATTGGTGCCGTTGGAGTTGAGAGATCGCGTCGCGCATGTGCTAAAACGAAGATGGCGGCCCGTGCCAGATCGACGGCTAGGGCTCGCTTGGGTCTAGTGTGAGACAGGGATTCCCAGATTGACGTGCAGTGACGTGAGCGGGGAATTGTGGTCGCGTCGCAGTTCAAAACAAGAGAAAGCTGCTTGAGGCTGGTTTATCTTGCTTTGTTGTTTTCCATCCCTAGTGTTGTCACGTTCGCATCATGCACCTTGATCTCAGTATCTAATCTTCGCAAAACTTCGCACAGTAACCATGGCGCCAGTCGAGACTGACGCTGCCACAAGGAGCAACTCACTGCCCATTGCACTCTTTGGCGGGCAGGTCTTGCTCGTTACAGTCCTCACGGCTCGCGTTCTGCTCACTACTCGACGCGCTGCCAGATCCCAACCACCATCAACCCACACGCGCTCCCAAGACCCCGCGCGCCGACGTCATGCCTTTGTCTTCTCCACCATTGCGCTCATTTCACTGCTCTCAGTGGGGAGCTTCGCCTTCCTTTGGCGCGCCATCTCCTACGTACGATGGGCTGAGCACAACAAGCAGGAGATCCCAGGGAGCTTATGGAGTGGTTGGTATGGCACTGGTGAGCAAGGGCAATGGCATCTGGGCGATTGGATTGCCGATATAGATCTTGTGCGCGAGTTTGATGCTGTAGGGATCATGAAGCCCGAGGGATTCCTCTACACCAGCCAGTACTTTGTGGGGCTGATAGCAAGCTCCATCTTTATGGGTGCTGAAGGTACGCAGAACACCACCAGCAACCCAGTGCGTGCGATTTCTTTCGAATGTTTCGCTGACTTGTTCGCTTCTAGGACGCAGGCGCAATCTCTCCAATACCACCATTGCGTCTTTCGTACTATTGAGCTCCATTGGAAGCCTAGGATATTCCTTGAGCTTGTTCTTCATCACCATCTTGTACACACCTCTAACTCTGCAGCACGGGGACTTGCCACGACATGATACGCTCTTCACACCGTACGCCTTCGTTTACGATATGGGTATTGTCGCGTCACTCGTCACACTCAACTTGTTCCCACAGCTGGTGTCGGAGTTTGGCGACAAGAGCATGATGCGAGTGGGCTATCTGGCCATGCCTCTTGCTTTCGCCTTTGCGCCACAGGTATGTAGCGCGCTTCTGATATAATATTCTCATCTGATCAGGGTCTAGATTATTCCTTACTCACTTGGTCATCAACATATATCCAAGGCAGCAGCTCATCGCTCTTATGCCAAGGTCTTTTACGCATTGTCGCTGGCTTCTATTCTGGTGTACTGGCGGGTCTGGGCGACTCTGCTCTACGTGAACCGGCCCTCTTCACGGTCTCATGTCTTGGACTTGTTCGCACATTCGTTTGGAAAGAGCGATTCGCCTCATACAAACAAGCTTCTGGCAACCATCAGCAACGCTGGTCAGAAACTCAAACATATCAGCACACATCCCGCTATCAGTGTCACGAGCCTTGATGTGTTCTTTACAACTGTCAGCCTACTCACCTGGACTTTTACTAGAGACTTGGATGTTCATTCAATACTAGAAAGCAGTGTGCTCTCTTTCCTGGTACCAAGCCATGAAAAACATGTTACTTTCAAAAAGGAATTGGCACGAGTCATGGAACACGTTAAAGAGCCATCGCCAGCTCTTGAGACGACTACGCCTAAGAAGCGTGGACGTCCTTCAAAGAAGGCGAATGGTTTATCTAGCGCAGCGCAGCCGGTTTCTCCAAGTGGACCTGTCAGGCGGAGCACTAGAGGAAAAGTATACAGCCCCGAATCTGATGCGGATGTATTGGCAGACGAGGCGGACGCTACCTATCAGCCAAACGGAGAGACGAAACGGGAAGTCGAGGCCATGGAATCGGATGGGTCATTGTCCGATGGTGACGTGGTGTCTGCTGGAGAATCGACTGCGCTGGCTCTGTTCCTTGCTTTCTTTGGTGGACTTGGACAGGTGGCGGCTGGCACTTTAGGCGCTGAAGTGACTGGCCCGCGGGACTGAAGGGACCAGAAGGAGTTTGTACAGGATGAGTGACGGTGAGTATGATTCTATGTACTATGTGGCGTTTGTATGGAGTCTAAATTAGGGGTGCGTCTGGATGCGGGTGTATGGGTATTCGGTTCATGGAGATTGGAAGATGGCTGCTTTTGGTTTCCTGGCTTGATACCCCGGCGATTGGGACCGGAGCGTCGGATACATCTGATATTGCTTTCTTAGTCTTAGCAATTCGATACTATGCAGATACGGATATATGTGCATTGAAAACCAGATTTGGGTGCGACTAGTATATGGTTGTATGGTCTGATTGGCGGGTCTTTTCCTTTTCTCTTATTTCTTTTCGACTTGGGCTCCAATGATTACATGTGTTACACAGGGCTATCCGCTACGAGCACTTACCATGAAAGAAGAGCGAAACCCCTGTCACGGCGCCCAAGAAGTGCTTGCGCAGCACAGTGACGTTGCTACGGGAGTGGATCTATAGTTATCCGCGACAAGAACATGAATCCTGGTCTGCCATGGGATACTCCCGTCAGCTCTGACTCATGCTGGGCTGCCCTGTCGATATGATTGCCTTCACCGCTCCAAGGGCCTGGACTGCGTTGCTTAGCCATGAATGCTCGAGGCGTCGGCTAGAGAGGCGAGTGTGGTTGATGTTGGAGGCGACAGAGCGCGGTGCCTGAAGATCTTGCTGCTTTGAGCCAAGATGGCAGAGCGCAACGACGTAAACGCGACCCAACCGTTGCGTCGCAGTGACACTTGACCTCATCCTGCGATAATTTTTTCTTCCTCGAGGGCGTTGAAGTCAGGCCACTGCGGCTGCGTATCAGCAATCCTGAATTTATTTCCGATCCGTCATCGACTCGTGTGCCAGGAAGAGGTTCTAGGGCCGGCATCCGCTGCGAAAGCATCCCTGCGAGCCGGCGTTTTCGGCTTCGAGCCACCAACGAAGGGCGTTTCCGAGTCGAATTGCACCTGCATAAGGCCAGTTTGGTGAGTGGAGTGAAACAGGGTAGGGTTGGAAGAGAGGTCTTGGATGCTCTGCGCGCATCTGGTCCGAGGGTGGTAATCAGGTCGGGCTCCGAGCCAACAGGGCAGGGCAGGGTAAGTAGAGGAAGGGTATCGCGAGGCTAGGGCCTAACGACCACCTCCACCGTGCGCACCGCAGAGACGCTACACTACCACCGTATAACCATGGAGGTAAGCCCATCTCTCTTCTCCCGCTCCGCACTCTCCCCACATGGTCCATTGTCGTCTCCCTCTTCAGCTAGCTCCCGTCTAAGCCACGTGTGTCGCGTCGCGAGTCTCCCACAGCCCTATATGCTCGTTTGCACCATGGCCTAAGCTCCCCTTTTGTACCCTCGGCCCACTGTCAATTGCCTTGGGCGTGTCACTCCTGTACAACATCGCGGCCGCTCCTCATTGACCCGTCGCTTTGTCTTCAGCCTCGCCCTCCCCAGAGCAGAGCCGGACGCCCTCGTGGCTTCCCTCGTCGGCCTGCATATCACGCCTGTCCGAGCGTGGCTGCCATCGCCCAAAGTACCACGCTTCACCGCGCAAATGTCGGTCCGTTGAGGTCAAGACAGAAGGCGCCGCTTTGTAATCTTTGGTTCTGTGTTTTTTCTTCCTTCGGCGCCGCACTTCCTTTACTCACGATACCCGTTTCTTTGCGCAACTTGTCTTTTTCTTAGCCATATACCCTGTACAACCACCATTGCCACTACTACTACTACTACTACTACTACTACTACTACCACCACTACCCCATACACTACAATGGAGAGCCGTTACCTCTCCCAGCAGCGCTCAGCAGCAGTCGATGCAGCGCGCAACATCACTCGCGAGAATGCTCAAGAAAAAGCACAAACATCAGCCAGCTCATCACTTCTCAAGCCAAGTGCACAGTTAACCATGGACCGCTTTCTACAGGACTTGCCGAATGCCGAACAACCGCCGGTTGACTTTTCGCCCCAGTACCACACAGGCCGCGTGCCAAACAGCAAAGCTGGAGATGGCAAACCGCGGCTGCTGCTCATGGGTCAGCGAAGGTGAGTTACAGCAAAGATTCTATGGTTTCAACGCTAATCATGTCACAGGAGTGGAAAGTCGTCGATATCAAGTGTCGTCTTCCACAAGTTGCCGCCGAGCGAAACCTTGTATCTAGAGACTACCTACAGGATCAAGAAGGAGTCTATGCAGTAAGCCACACCTAAGATACTCATCTTCTTGTACTAAACAAATACAATAGCTCGTTCATGGACTTTCAAGTATGGGATCTCCCAGGCCACCTAGACTACTTTGATCCAGCCTTCGATACCGACAACATCTTTGAGGAAATCGGAGCGCTTATATGGGTCATTGACGCACAGGACGAGTATCTCGATGCTATTGCCCGGCTCAACATGACCATTCTCAACCTGCAGCAATCATACCCCAACATCAATGTGGAAGTGTTTGTCCACAAAGTCGACGGATTGTCAGATGACTTCCGCGGTGACACCTTCCGTGATATCATTCAACGAGTTCAAGACGAACTTTCAGACCACGGCTACGAGCAAGCGCCCATATCCTTTTATCAGACGTCCATCTACGACCAGTCCATCTTCGAGGCCTTTAGTAAAGTCATCCAAAAACTCATTCCGCAACTGCCCACGCTCGAGGCATTGCTCAACAATTTGTGTGGGGCTTGCAACATTGAGAAAGCATATCTCTTCGATATTATGAGCAAAATATACATTGCAACTGATACGAGCCCAACCGATATCGGCAGCTATGAGATCTGTTCCGACTACATCGACGTTGTCATTGATGTCAGTGAGATTTACGGTTGGGATCGGCCTGACGACGGAGACAATGAAAGTGAGATGGGCAACAACGATGCAGAGAGCTTGATCACCATGGAGAAGAAGAACAGCAGGTATCTCTACTTGCGTGAGATTAACAAGTAAGCCAATCATGATGAGTGACTAGTTGAGGGGTGGGCGCTGACTGCTGACAGGTATCTCGCATTGGTGTGTATCATGGGCCAGGACAATCCAGCAGAGAAAAAGGCTCTCATCGACTACAATGTCGGAGTCTTCCAGGCGGGTCTCAAACAGGTTTTCCCAAAGAGTGACCGAGAGGCCCAAGTCGAAATCCGCAACATCCATGACTCCTTGGATCAATGATTCGAACGTTGCTGCTTGAACACGAAAAGAAAGACATTACATAGTGGCTGTAAATATTTGATGCGACTAATTGCTGCCACATTGAGCTTTGGGCGGGACACTCTTTTACACTAAAAACATAATATATAAACCTGTATGATAAAAGAAAAGTGAATGAAAAACGCTATCAATGCAAGATTGGTGCACAGGGTTTTCAATACAAGGTTCGTGTATCGATTACGGTATGCCTGTAAAGGTGAAGTTCAATGCGTAATTGATTTCTTCATGCACAGAAGTCTAGAATTTCTACGGGCTCAAGCGAAAGTGCAGTGGCCAGATGACATCAACCGGGATTCCGGGACGAGGGGCCCAATCATCGGAACGGGGATGCGCGTTACTTCCGACCTACAAGACGCGAGGAGCAATCTATTTCTCCGCATTCCGCGCGCGCATTTGATCGTCTGTCTTGGCTTTTGGACACGTCTTTGGACAATCTCACTTTGGCCGTTTCTTGTTTCTGAGGGTAGTGAACTTGTGCAGTTGGGTTCGTTTTCCATTGTGCCGTGCTGTTCTTGAGCTGCAGGCCGGTTGTGAATGGGTATACATACAGTCCTTCTCTGTGTTCTGCCTTTCTTTGGTTACTGATCTCAAGACACTGTAGAAACCACCGGTAAACTTCAGATTGTGTAGTTGGCACCATCGTACCTCTCCTATTCGACTCCGCGTTGCGCAACCGCACTCTCGCGACTCCTACATTACCACCAATACTACCGACACAATGTCATCATCGGCACGATACCGTCGTCCTGCAAAGGACAATGCGCCCACAGATGCAACGAACTCAGCTGGAGTCCCTGATCTTGCGGCTGCAAAGGAAAAGGCTGAGCTCAAGCAGGCGATCAAAGAGCAAGCCGAGGAAACGTCAAATGGCCTGTCAGTACTAGACGTATTGCGTATACTGGGCGGACTGGTACTGCTAAGCTGTGGACTGAGCTATCTGAGTACCAGCGGAGAAAGCATGACATGGGGCTACAACCCATGGTGGACACGAGCGCGGGAATGGAAGAGTCTGATTGTAGGTCATCGTATTTCCACATCTAGGAAGCACATGTGTAGAAAGTTCATACTGACCACCTATCACAGCAAGGCGAAGTCGTCCTCACTGACAGCGAACTCGCACTATACGATGGCTCCGATCCTAAGAAACCCATCTACCTCGCCATCAACGGTACAATCTACGACGTCTCTATCTCGCCCACCACCTACGGCCCCGGCGGCTCCTACCACTTTTTCGCCGGCAAAGATGCCGCCCGCGCTTTTCTCACCGGCTGCTTCGCTGAAGACTCGGTCCCGGATCTACGCGGCGTAGAGCAAATGTACATGCCCGTTGATCCGGAAGAAAAAGCCTCTCTCACTCCCGAGGAACGCGCCGCTGCAATGGAGAAAGCGCGCAACAGGAAGAAGCTCAGCAGTGGCGAGCTGAAGAACCGACACGCGCGAGAACTCAAGAGTGCGAAGAAACAGGTAGTTGATGGCTTGGAGAGCTGGCATAAGCTGTTTAGGGGTGATAAGGGGAAGCCGTATCGTCGTGTGGGCTATGTGAAGAGGGAGAGTGATTGGCTGGAGAAGACGCCGAAGAGGGGGTTGTGTGAACAGGCTGAGAAGGGGAGGCCGGTGAGGAAGTATGATTAGGGTGTGGTAGGTGGAGAGAAAGGGGGTTATGAAGGGGAGAGTTAAGAACAGGGAATCGAATGGTTGTAGTGTACTGCAAGGTATATGTTTAGTTTCTGCCGAAATATCGATGTTGTGCTGATATAGGCTGAAAGTCTTGATTTTCTTTTCAAAGTATTGTTAATGCGTGACGTGACTGTTATGCGAATATCACAAACTCCTTTTCATGAAAGTGATAGAACTTGTAGTTAACACCTAACTTTTGAGATGAATTAGTGTAGATTAGAACACTCTAGGAAAATTCACGTAGCAGGGGTAACTAACGAATGTATACATCTCGATCGGTCTATCCCTTTTCTCTGGCACACGTCTCTTCTATACCTCTATACAAATTTGTTTTGCTCAAGTTCAATCAAGACCCCAAAAAGACAACTTCAAGCGTTGATGGTTCGACAAACTAGCCCACGTCACTCTCACATAACTACTGTTAGAGTTCTAATTGCCCATTTCTTACTACACTACCATACTAGAACTGTTTTATACATTACGTCAAAGGTACATGGCAATACAGGAAAATAAGCTAACATGAAATCGGGATCCACAATAGCGAAAAGTTCACTTCTGATCTCGACCCACTTTTCCAACCCACGCGATAGTTCATTTTCTTACTATTTCGTATATCAACGATGCAATTACCCTTCATTCCATCAACAGGAGCACCAGCTTCCCAAACAACCCCAGCATCGGTGGTTTAGTGGTAAAATTAGCCGTTGCCATCTCTCTTCGAGAACAGTTTCGGCTAGCCCCGGGTTCGATTCCCGGCCGATGCAATTCATTTTTCATTTTTTTCGCCATGCTGGCATGGTTGTATGTATGTGTGCGTTGTTCGAAATTAAACTTTTTTTTTGCGATTTTTGGAGGTTAGGGATTCGGTTAATTATTTGGTGGGGGGGGGGGGCGGAGAGTCACGTGGCACCACTTGATATGTTTGATTGCATCACCTATGTGTTTACGTATGTATTGTAGTGTGTATGTGTGGCTAGAGGATATACCTAGGAATAGGTTTTGCTGCATGAATCCATCCCTTGGGTATTCGTGTTTTTTTTCTTTTTTCTTCCAAATAGGGAATTCGGTCGTGTGTGTATTCTAATTTCCATATTTTGCACCTTTTTCAAGGGGTTAAACTTACTACCAAGTCTTAATTCCTCCACCCCCACATTATAACAAAAAGTATATAATGGCTACAAGGGGAAACAGTCATCTACACTTCCCCTAAGAGGAGCCTTGGCGCAATGGTAGCGCGTTGGTTTTCGGCTTTTCAATTGTCTCTGATCACCAAAGGTTGTGGGTTCGGTACGTAGCTTTCCTAATGGGAATGAACCGCTTCTTTCGATCCATGTTACTAACGTAGTTTGACGTAGATCCCCATGGGCTTCGCTGTCTTCTTTCTCTTTTGCTTTTTTTGATCCCTCTCTCTCACACACTTTTTATTTTTTGCAATGGACTGTTTGAGCATGCCCTTGATGCTTCATAATCTTCATGCCTTTTGCGTTTGGCAATTGCCTTTCTGTGGGTGCTTGTGTTTTGCGAAGAAGCTTGGCTGGAGAACCCCCCCCCCCTTCCTTCTTTTACTTTCTCACCCTCGCAAAAAAAATATGCTGAGTGAGAGGGCTGGCCCTTTGAGTTTCGGCCATGTGAGACGCAGGGGACAGGATTATTCTGCGGCGCGCTCGGATGCCTTGGGGTACTGGTAAGGATACGAATGCAGTCGCCGTTCCAAAAGGCAAAACTACTAGTTACGACCGGTGATATATACCATGGAGACGGCTGATCTACATTTGACAAAAAAAGTAAAGGAATAAAACAGCACAGCTAAGATGCGCAAAAGGCCCACTTTGGCACTCCGATCTCCCGCGTTTCAGATACATGGATGGCATGGCAGCAGCCGGGTACATGCTTTGCCGATACGTAAGAAAACGCTCAGGATGCCCAAGAAAGCGGATGCAATGAGGGCCTGAGAATCCTGCTCGCGTCATTCTGCGGTAGGCAGTCTGTGATACACACATGGTACTTGTAGATCATAGGCAACCCATGATCCGAAATCTGAAACAGCTGCAACAGATCGATGGGGATTGGCCTTGGCCGCAGCTCAGCAATTGACCTGTGTCTGCTTTTCAACGACGCGGGGAATGACGTAAAGTTTGCTGGTGTGCCAAAAGTTGGGGTCGCCAGAAAACAAAGAAAAGAAAAGAGACATTGCGTGCAGGTCGGCAACCCGGCTCAGAGCGCATTGGTACAAAGTGCTCTCGGACCGAAATCATTTGCCCAAGCCGAGTCAGTATGTACATAGATAAATAGGCAGGTTGAACACTTCCTGTTGGCATAACACAATTGGGGAAGCAACCAAATTTCCACCAAGGAATGCGGTCTAGAACGTTGCATTTTTTTTAAATGCCTGCTCATAAGTCTGACCCCAAATTGCCAAGTGAATTATAGTCGGGGTTGGTCGCATGGGATGCTTGGGGGCAATCAGGCCATATGGCAAGTGTCAAAGACAGGCTTCACCCAGCCAATCACCATGGGAGCATGGGCCAGAGAGCACGATTGGAAATATCTAAACCAAGTCATGTTGCTCTTGGGCGAGTCGTGAAACAGGTCAAAGTATAGTTTGGATTGCATGTTGTCGAGATCAGCAGTATTAGGTGTGGGTGCACGCCCGTTGTTCTGCAAGATGATCGAACAGCAGTTCGACAGTGTCATTTTAGCTATGGGTCGCAGGAGGCTTTCCAAGATCCCGCAGACGACGGCAGGACGGGAATCGGGGATCGGGAGGCTACGTACACGTATGTACATGTGTGTACATTGAGCTAGTCAAGTGGGTTCCTATTGGCTGGGTAGTTGTAATCAGAGAGCATGAGGAATAGGTGTACAGCGGCATCGGCATGAACATAGGTAGAATGTGTATCAGACATGATTGGTGGGCAAGAGATGATTTGTGACTGAAAATGGTTGAGGAAGCGTCAGAGGGTGCATGATGGCATGGCAGCTGGAAAAGGCGTATTCTGAGCCGGGACGGGAACTACTAGGTTTGGTTGGCTGCGCCTATCGGAAGAGGTGGGATGAGAACAGGTGGATGAGTATCTGTCCATCAGCACCGGCCAGAATGGCGGCTTGGTGGACAGCCGGCGTTGCTCGGACATGTGTATAGGGAATTAGTGGTTTGCTTACGGCCGTGCATCATGAGTCGTTGCGCTCATCGCGTCCGCGCCTGAGGTCTGGGGCGGTGGTACAACAACGCAGTTGGATCAACGGCGTGCTGCAGTCGGCGCGGCAAGAGTGTGGATGCAGTAGTAGCGGCATTAGTGTTGGGCGCTCTGCAGGGCTGGTTTCGTCGATACGATTACGTCGCGCGTCCCGCCAGCCCGGACGGCTAGCCATGCGATGAGTCGATTGCAGCGTGCCGGCGAGACTAGCGGACGTGGCTGGCGACGTGAGACTCGGTTCGCACAGTTCCTCAGGAGCAGGATGGGGTTGGTATGGATATGTGCGAGCGTACGTAGTAGTAGTTATAGTAGTAGGTGTGTACGTACTCTACCAATGAGTGAGTGTAAGTAGGCACTGTCGCGGGCATGCAGAAACGACGGCAGTAATTGGCCCGGAAGCCGAAAATAGAAATGGCAGCTCGAAGACGATCGCGTCATGGCAGGTGCTGGTGGTGGGGCGCGCCAAAGACTATGGTGCAACAGCGACAACAGGCTGCCTCTGCCTCTGGCTGCGGTTGCGGTATGGGACTCTACTCTGGGGTACGGCAAGAGGCCAGGCGGGTAGACGAGGGGGATTGTCAGTCAGCAAGCAACAAGCACCGTCGGTTTCGCACTGATTGCGCACTCATATCGCAGGAAATGATGGCATGCGCGGCATATGCAAATCAAACACGTCTCATCTCACCGGCTTCCCCACACGCCTTGGCGGGCATTTGCATGCTGTGTGTCGAGGTGTAGACATTGGTTTGCGGGCAGCGCACCTGCAGGAGGAGGAGGAGTAGACTACTGGGCGTGGTGTATACTAGACGGTCGAGTACTGTAGGGTGTGTGTATAGAGGACATATCGGGTCGTGTGTGGGCCGATGTTGTGCCGCGGACCCTGTAGGGACATGCCCAACACGGCCTGTCGTGAGCCCGCAAAAGGCCTTCGCCTTCGCCTCTGCTGGAGCGGGGTACAGGCGAGTCGGTGAGCCATGCACATCTGCATCCATACCCATACCCATACCCTTGCTCATGCCCATGGCGACAACGGCCTCTTATCGCACTGCACCAGAGACTCGACGATTTCCACCGCCATTCGTTCATCCTATCTTGTCCTGTCCTGTCCTGTCCTATCCTGCCCTGCACTGCAAACCCGCAGCCGCAGATGCCCTGCTGTGGGTCGCGCCGGCCGAGGTGTGCGGATGCAGGATTGGCCATGTCGCTCCCCCTCTCAGATGGCGATTCCCACTCTGTTTACCAGATCGCGTCGGATTTGGCATGGCCTCAACGCGTCCAACCACACGCCTATTCGCTCACATGCGACGGGCAATGCCACACCCCACCCGCGCCCACACACACCCTCTTTGCTTGGTACGGCACAAATTCCAACCCGCCCTCGCACGCTTCGTCTCTTAAGGCATGATGTGTCCCGCAGACCCTGGAATACGGGCTCGAAAGCGTTTACCGCGCCATTGCTCCCATCCTCTTTTGTGCTGCCTTTCGGTGCTTCGGCATATCGACTGCAACGGTGGCGTTGAGACATGGACTTGTGCAGTGTGCCGTTGCCATGCAGCAACAAGCTTCCGAAGCGCCAGGGTGCAAAAAAAAAGGTCGGAGAGGGAGCAGTCGCAGTCGCAGTCGCAGTCGCAGTACTAGCAGTAGCGACAGCAGCACCAGCAGCACCCAGCACCAGCGGTGGACTTGGAGGCGTCACCAGTGCCTCCGTTTGTTTTGCTGCATCGGCAGCGCCCGAGCACCGTGGGCCGGGGGGAGGCAAGGACTAGGGTCAGGAGTGAAGCTGGCGAAGGTGCCGGAAACTCTATGCTTCTTTTTTCCAACGTCTCCGAGGCGGATCAAGCACAACGGGCGATCGGCTCGATTGCAGGATAAATGCCATGCGCGCCTATGTAAACAATAGTGAAGAGGCTACGTAAGCAGGCGGCCGTGGCCTCAGGCAGGACAAGCCAGCCCAGCCCAAGGCCTCGACCACCATGGCGACGGCAAAGAGGGCAAGACTGCAAAGGCCATTTGCTTGCATTGAATCCTGAGCCCCGTGCGAGAGTGTGTGCACAGAAACCCCGTGACCTGGCCGTGACCGTGGCACCGTGGAGAGCAGAGGCAACGTGCCCCGTTGTCTTCTGGCGTGAGAAGCTAATTGAGAGTCTCCTAGCAGCGCGCCCGTGCGTGCTCCCCGACTAGTGCGGCCCCTTTGCCTGACAACCTCAACTCTTCACCGCGACCGCCAACCCTACACTCCCTCTATTATTTTCCTTTTCTGCTTGCTTCTTGAATCGCTCGTCGTTTCCAGCAGCAGACGGCCCACTCTCGTATACCGACCAATGCAGGCTTGAGGGACTGCTCGGGAGGCTTGGTACACGCTGCCATCTCCGTCGATTCACGACAGCCTTCCAAGCGCTCGACGACCTTCTCTTTCTATTTACTGTTTTAATACCTTTGCGCTGCTTTCCTTTCACTCCCAGGTACACAGTCCCCTCGAAGCCCGTCACCACTGCCGACCCACAGCCTAATGGCTGCATCACCAATGCCCCCATCCCTTGATCCCGCTACACTCCTGCTCCTGCTCCTGCTCGCCCGGCCTCGGTTCCGCGATTCTGTCCTCAGTCCACATCGCTCCACCACTTACCACCCACCGCCCGTTCGCATCCATCGAACTAATATGCTAATGTTGTAATGCTCGACAGGTTCTCACTTGCTCATTTCGGTCGCTGCCGCTGCCGCTACTGCTACTATCGCAGTCGACGAGCCTATAGCTGATCCCCATCGAGCTCCTGACAGCCGTACCCCCCACAGGCCACCGATGGCTCAGGTACTCACGTCAGTCATCCAGACGACAGGACCTCATACAATGCCATACTCGTCGTCCGATGCCTACAAAAACACGACTACCCACTCCACCCAGCAACAGCCACGCCCGTCGCAGATGCCACGCAAGGAGCACAGCGCGAATTCTGCACCTACAGGATACAGAGCAGCCGCCGCACCCATAGCCCCGTATGCCTTCAGCAGCACGCCGCAACTGCGCCAGGAGAACAGGTCCGTCTCGGCACCTTCCCCCCAAGGCCTGCAGCAACTCCCAGCTCCCGCCAACCAGGCTCGTCTTGGCCATCCCTCCCACCCATCTTCTTCATCCGACTCCACTGTATCCACATCTGGATCTTCCAATCGTTCCTCGGCCGGAACGGCTGTAGCCGCCAAAGACGACAGCGATGCCAAGAAGCCTATCGACAGCATTGCGCCATCACTCACTCTCTCCTCCACCAATCTTGATCTTTCGTTTTCTGTTGGCGAATCGCCAGTGAAGCCATCGCCAGGGCGGTATCGACGTGGCGCCGGCAGGTCAGATTCGTCAAATAGCGTACCCACTGGCTCCACTACCCCAACACAGCGCTCCGCACCCGAGGGAAACTCTCAGGCGGCACCTTCGCAATCAACGCCAAACGGCACCTCAGATGCTGCAAGCTCGCCACAGCCATCGAAACCCGCCCATAACCGAGCCAACAGCGCCGATGATACTGTTCGTGTAGGCGGCGCCGACCAGGCTAAACGGTACAGAAGGCGCAGTTTCAACGGACTAGAAGGGGAGAATACTACCCCGAGCAAAGCATCATTGCAGACCAGTCCATCCACAGCTCAGCCCCCAGTGTTGAACCAAAGCCTCACTAGACCGTCCAGTTCTGGCCGCGCCGGAAGTCGTCCTGCCTCAAGCCAGAGTCATGAACGACAGGGCAGCGCAGGTAGTGCGTCGTCCAACAATTCGTCAAGATCACAGGTGAGTCTAGCCAACACACCACACATAACCATACTAATATATATATTTTAGTCTCGGCCTGCTGCAAACGCACAACGCAGCTACGCCTCCGTAGCAGGAGGCAACTCTGGCAAAGCAACTGAGCCGAACAGACGTCAAGCTCCCTCCCCTCTGTCACATCCCATCTCTCCGTCAGAGTCTCCTGGCCAAGCCAAGCCAGAGGCGACGTCGAGTGCCGCAATGCAGCAGCTCAGTGCTGTCAACGACAAGGAGAAGGGTATGAAGTCTCGTCTACGCAGGGCATTCTCCTTCGGCAGTGCTGCTGAACTCCGACGTGCTTCTGCTGAGAATAGCATCTCGGTTGAACGCGCAAGATTGAGGAAGGGCCAGTATCAGAACGACGAGGATGCTGAGCAAGCAGCCATTATCGCAAAGCAAGAGGCTGCAGGTATTGGGGCTGGCATTTACTCTGGACAGGGTGGTATCGGCTCGACGGACAACTTGTCTATACAGTCTGCTGCATCGTCTGCGTCGGTTATGCTTCGCAAAATGGGTCATGGAATGAAAAAGGGTACCAAATCGATCAAGGGTCTCTTCAGACCCAAATCAGTTATTGGTGTGCCTGCTGCCGATGGCCCCATCAGGCCAAGTGTTGGTCAAGTGTCTCTCGTCACCGTTGAGGCTGAGAGGCACAAGGTTAACGTCAATGCTCACCCGCAAACACAGACTAGGGGAGGCACTGGCTACCCAAGACTTGAACGCAACTCGATCGACGCTGGACAGACCGCAGAGATTGTTGACCCTTCAGTCTCAGGTAGTGATTCTATTTCCAGGAAGAGCATTGTTGGGTCTGATCGTGACCGTGCCGAAGTTCTCTCTTCCATGAAAAAGGGTATTTTGAAACGTGGGTACTCTGCGTCTTTTATACACGCAGCTGCTAATGACAAATTAGGTACCGGTACCGGTTCTGGGTCGAATTCTCCAGTAATAAGACCTGAAGACAGTGTTCCTAACGTGGGCTCGTCAAGGTCCAGTTCTCCCGCCACTCCCAAAACAGAAGTTGGACAATCCCGCACCGACGACTACTTTGCGAAGCCACCTCGTATCCACAATGGCAGCACCAGAAGTCTTCCAACTACGCCTCACGGCGGTATGCGCAATATCAGCTTCAGTCCCCGCATTCAGTTTCATGACGCCTGGTCACCGCAGGACTACGACCGCAGAGGTGACATTGCTACGTGTAATAGGCTTACGCCCATGCTTGCGCAACAAATCAAGGAAGAACTCAACTCCTTCAAAATGGTACACACTGCCTCTACCACGCTCTCAGAAAGTTTTGCTAACCCTCGCTACAGGAGATGGAAGTTCACGAGCTCTCGAAACCTCACACCCATTTCTTTTAATGATTATGCATCCACCATTTGGACATGGCGTCTTGGCGAATTCCTCTCATCGTTGCACTTGTGGATTTGAGCCACCAGCATTCACCACTTGTCAGCCCTGTTCCCTGTTCTGGTTACCACGGACTTGTTCTTCCATCTTAGCGAGCATTTGCAATCACGTAGAGGGAGACCGCCCTGCTTGCATGGGAGGTTTCTGCAAGCCTGTTGGCAAGGGAAAAAAAATCACAAAAGATGGGAGGAGAAAGTTTTAGCTGGAATCACCTTCCCTTGCCTTCATCTCTTTCTGTGGGTCTCAGTCGTATGTTGACGTCCTTTTTCTTTTACCGTCAAGCTTGTCATTCTCTTATTAGTCTCCTTGTCTCAGTTACAATCATTGTTGGGTAGTCTCTGCGCTGCATATATCGTGGAGAAAACTGTGTAAGGAGAGGTAGGAAGTACTTGGGGGCGCAAGGGTCCTTGGTAGTTGGCTTTTGCCGAATAACTGTATAATTGCAGTAATTGGAAGGCGACACTCCATGTTTCTCTGCTCCGTGTGTAATGTATAGAAAGTCTTTTGTTGGGATAATTGCCTGGGCTGGCAGCAGTCTCGCACCAATATTGATCATTTATTCGCCACATCTTGAGATTGGAGCACTAACGGATGCTCCGTCTTCTCGACCAAGTCCCTAGACACTTACGAGCTCGTACACTTATTCGACATTTGTCGCAGCGCATTAACGGTCAGACCCGTACGCGTCCAAGTCACGGCAATTAGCCGTGAAGGTCAATCTCCGGTACCTTGCACAAACCTAGGCAGTTTACACACACGCTCGGCACTCACTTCATCTGCCAACAACACTGATAACCCCACACCTGTCAATACCGCCCCGCAAAAAATGCTTTTGATCACGCGAACCACACCTTCCCGTTCAAGAACGTCAATACAACCACACGTGGGGGTGAGTGCAACGGCAGACGGTATAGGCGCTAGTCTTTTGATTCATCGAAAGTATCGCATGTGGCAGCATGTCCGCAACCTTAAAACAGTCGCCTGATCACCGCTTTTGGAATACGACAATGTGGTGCTCGACAATAGCGCCAAGGGATTCAAGGGGTAGAAAGGAGTGAGGCCAGGAATGGATAGCGCAAGTGTTGCTAAATATATGTTGGTAGCAAGTGCAAGTGACGACATAGAGTGCACGTGCTGACTGTATCCTTGATTATGAAACTGATAAAAGGGATATTATCAAACCCATGCGTGGATAGTAAGCTGGTGCAAGACCACTGCAAATGGTGCTGACAAAGGAAGATGAATGGGCGGACGAAGCATATCACGTGACTATATCGCTCGCTTGACCGCTGACTTAGCGCGCCAAGATCGCGCACCGGACACGAAATTGGTGTCGGCTCAGCTTGTCGGTCTCTCCTCAGCAACCACACACATCCGACAAAATGGTATGTCCTGTCGCCGAATAACCTATTGAAGGGATGAAGGAAAGAATGGACGCTGACTATTTCCAAGGCACCTGCAGCAACTGGAGGCAAGAAGCAAAAGAAGAAGTGGTCTAAGGGCAAGGGTATGTGATACCGCAATATACACCATCCAGCACCTTTACACGCACATCGAGAATATCCTACTACACGCGGAATCATCTCTTGAGAATTCCATTCCTCCCTACGACCCTCGCGCACATTCCGGGCTCCATAATGAAGAAACGCCACTAACAAACCCACAGTCAAGGACAAGGCCCAGCACGCCGTCGTTCTCGACAAGACCACCAACGACAAGCTCCAGAAGGATGTCCAGTCCTACCGCCTCATCACCGTTGCCACCCTTGTCGATCGTCTGAAGATCAACGGCTCGCTCGCACGCAAGGCGCTTGCCGACCTCGAGGCCAACGGTCAGATCAAGAAGGTTGTCGGTCACTCCAAGCTCAGCATCTACAGTACGTCCGCCATTTGGTCCCTGTGACATTACCCTCTTCGGCTCCATATGAATTGGACCTTGGGGAATAAACCGTTGGAAACAAACTAACATAGCCCAGCCCGAGCGATTGGCGACGCCGAGTAAATCCGCGTTTACGGACTAGTCAATGAATCCAAACGCGAGACTCGGGACACCTCTTTCAGTTTTTCAACGGCATTCCTCTTTCCATTTCCGATCGGCGTCTTCATGAAATGAACGGGTCACTATATTGGGATGCAGGCTTCATAGCGGGACATGAAAATGAGAGGAGCGGACTCAGGTACAGCACCTGTAGTGCATGGGATGTGCCGGTTACGTACTGAATGAAAAAGATATCCGAAACACCCAAATTGAAATGGCCCGAACTTTCCGTGACTATCATTCCATCATGATGTGTTCGTGTGTGTCTGCAAAGGATACTAATTTTTGGTTCAACATTGAATATGTGTGGCGTGACCACGTCTCGGATACAGCTGACAACCTTGTACGAACGCTACTTGCACATGTTATCGGCCCCATTATCAGACCGTTAGTGGGTACCATGAGCATGGATGGGGAATAATTCAGTTCGAAGGTATTACAACTATTGAGATGAAGAGAGATTGACAGGAAGGTTAGGAGAGACTCGAAACCAAGGAACCCACCCAGAGGTATTCCCAAAATCATTCATCCTTGGAGAAGAAGCCAACGTCCCCACTCTTCTCTCCCATTTCCACTAGTCTCTCTCGCATCTTCTTCGCTCGCTCCGCCATCTGCGGCTCGAATCCCTCAAAGTCATATTCCTTGGCCCATTCCCCGACACCATGTTGCAGCACGTTCCTCGCTCGCTGGCTGCCCGCCAGCGGCGTCCCAATACTACCATGCAACGTCATTCTCTCCTTGGAACAATCATACACGCCACGGTGCAGAATATTGTTATTATAAAACGCCACTTCGCCCGCCTTGAGCTTCACCGTGATTTGATCAGGCATATTTGCTTCGTACGGGTCCGCATTGCGCTCTACATCTGTTCGTGCGCGTTTATGCGATCCAGGAACGAGCACTAGACTGTTGTCGTCGTATAAAGCCAGATTCCACTGCGCATGATGACCTGGTTTCTGCAATCGTTCTAGTTCCTGTTCGGCCGTGGCCGTCGCTGCAATGTCGTCTCTGTGCCATCTCAGACTAAACTCTTTATCTGGCCGTACAAGCATGTTGTACAGCTCCATGGTCAAGTCGTCTTCGCCGCACCCGATCAGCGCAGCAACATATTTCAGGAGTTCGCTGTCGAAATACGATTTTGCAAAGATGACATGGTCGGGGTTGGAGGGGTGCAACAGGTGCTGTACGCCCCATATACCGTCTGAGGGATCCTGCGGCCAGGGCGGGAATTGCTTGGGGAGAGTACGGATGTAGGGCCATTTTCCTGCTCGTGCTGCCGTGGTCAGGCGTGAGGCTGCTGCGCGGAGGGCGTCCAGGTCGAAAGAGGGGAAGAGAGATGCGGAGAGGACGACGAAGCCGTCGCGGTCTAGTGCTTCCTTGGCTGCCTTGTACGGGTCTTTGCTTGAAGAAGTGATGTTTGAGGGGGCCGTTGAATCATCTGGTGTTTGTTTGGCAACTGCTGGTTGTGCAAAGGGTAATGGCAAGAGAGACTTTGCACTGCCCATAAAGCCGCCTTTGTCTGGTTGGTGCTCGAATCGTCGGTGCATCTTGAATACACCGAGGCCGGTGGTGAGGAGGGATAGAGGTAAGATGAAGAACCATTAAATGTGCATAGGTGACGTTGTTCAGCTTGCAGTGTAAGGCTACCCCGCATGGTATAACAGCCCCCACCATTGTCCTGATGTGGCAATGGCTATTCCGTCGTGGCTGTTTCGAAATTACATGCTATGCAGTTGCTGTTACTATAGAGCTGCCAGTACAAGTGCTGGATGTTCTTCGCGCACTTGACTTTCCTGCACTTTACTCTGATATAAATGAATCCAATTCGTTGATCTTTGAGACATTGATTGATTCAGCCAAAAAGCCTAGCACTTTTAAATCCAAATACAATGATAGCAGTTGCAAATCGATATTTTCGAGAAACTGGCGCGAGCAACTCATACATATTCTTTTCCCTTTACCTCCTCCACTTCAGCCTCTCCTGTTCCCCCCTTTGTCCTTCGCTCTTTTTCTCTCTCCTCTTCCTCCTCTCTCTTCTTCTGTCTCAGATACTGACAAAATTTGCTCTTATCCCTCATCTTTTCACCCCACTTGACGAATACAAACGGCACCACGCACAGGGCTAGCGAGAAAAACCCTAACAGAGTCGTCGCCCACGCTACACCCATAGCCCTATACATCGGCTTCGTAGCAAACGGCAATATTGCCCCAAATGATGATCGAGACAACGAAGCAGCAGCCATGGCCGAGGCGGCAAAGATTTCGTAAGCGTCGACAAGGTAGTTTAGCAGAGCCATGAAAAGACATAAATAGCCCATGCCAAATAGGACTCCAGCAAGCACGGGCACGATCCAGTGAATATCCTTTCGCGCCGTCCAGCCTAGCCAGAAAGCACTGATGACGAAAAAGGGGCCTGCAATGCATGCAAGGGGGAGTCGGCGCATCTCCTCACGTTGCGACCAGGGGCGCTGTAGACGCTGGGCGCGTGCAAGGTACCAGTCCCAGGCAAGGTAGATGCCTGCGGATATGGTGGCTCCCACGCCAATAGGTAGGAATGCCAGACCCATTTCTCCGGCATTGAAACCATATGTTCCTGTGAAGATTATGGGGTAGGATTGCATGAAAATGTAGAATATAGAATCTGTATTTTTTCGTAAGCATCAGCCGTGGATGTTGATAGATAAAAGAAAATGACGATGCAAACTTACATGCGTAGCTCAAGTACAAGCAAGTAAAAAGGACAAGTGGCTCGAAGATAACCATTCGTATTGGTCTCGTCAAGATGACCGTAACAAGGTGATTCAAGTCCGTTTTCTCCAACTCCAGTGGTGCAACGATATTCTCATCACCCGTCTCCTTGCGTAATCGCTGAGCACGACGCTTCAGAATCGTCGGGCCATACGTCTCATCGAAGAAGTAGAAAATAGGCCATGTTGCGCCCGCGAAGATGGCTCCAACCCAAAAAGCCCAACTCCAGTCGACCACAGAAACGAAACCTGATATCGGGGGTCCTAATATAGGACCAAATGTCGTCGCAGCCTAACTCGCAAGATCAGAAACCTAAACCCTAAAACACATGACAGAGAAATAACACACCATAAATATCGCCATACTTCGACCGCGTTGCTTTGGGTCATGATAAATATCCGCACAGATACCACCAACAACGCTAATCGCACAGCTTCCGCCTACACCAACGAGGAACCTGAACACGACCAGAGCGCCAAAGTTGAGCGAAAGCGCCGACGCAACCGAAAAGATTGTCAAAATGACAAACGATATCACCATTGTGCCTTTGCGGCCGTAGCTCTCAGACAGTGGGCCCCATAGCATTGGACCGAATGCGTACCCAACTAGGTACATGGAGGTAGGGAGAACGAGCATGTACTCGTTGTACTCGTTGAAATGGCGAGATATGGGGCCTGTAGCTCCAGCTGCAAGACTTGAGTTCATGGTGCTGTTCATGACTATATGGACTTAGTTTGAGGCGGGGGACGATTGGAGGTGAGGAAGGAGAGTGCCTACCACTTATGATTGCAACGAAGACGGCATAGATTTTCTTCCACTGTACATAATATCAGTAACATACCAACGATTATACAACTTTATTCTACTCACACGACCCCAGTTATCAGGATTCTCAGGATCCCCGTCTTCAAATCTCAAGACACGGCGCCGTTGACCATGCTCACTGGATATCTCAGACGGTGCACTCGTCCCATTGTGCGAACTCGATACTCGTGACTCGACTCTCTCAATCGCATCTTCGTGCTCGACATCGGATTCATCGACGTCTTTCTCGAGTTCCTTCAAGCGTGCTGTACGTGTGGTGTCTACACCGGCTAAGTATATCCGTCAGTAAGTCAACTCTCCCACCGACCCCAAATTTTCTCTCTACAAGAGAGAGAAGTGAAGAAGAAAAGGCAAGATAAAACACATACACCGCTGTCTGCTCAAACTCCTCTGACTCTTCGACGTAAAACTCCTCACCAACGCAACCGGCGAAGTGATAGCCTCATGCGTAGGCCCTACACCCTGTTGCTCCCGGGAATAACTTTTCTCAAGATCAGCCCCGGACTCCATCCTCCTAGAATAACTATTTCCCCTCTTCCTGTACTTCAACCGACAATTAAAATAATAACAATGATTGGTCAAAATGACGTATTCTACTCGTCACTCACAACCACCCAGCAAGTCACTTGTCAAAGAAAAAAAAACCTAGATGAGAGGGAATGTAGGTTAAAGAGTAATCTTTTGAAAAGCCATACAGGCAGAATCGAATGTAAAGTGGAAAAAAAAACAAAGGGAAATAAAACGGGCATCCCCAATTACCCAGACCCCGATGGGTCATGCAATAGCGATCACCGCTACCTCGGCATTAGACCCGCCCGCTTCGTCCCCCAAGTGCAAGCAACGATCGTCGACGGGTTGCAGAATACATGCACCATGATTTATAAATGACTGCATAATCTCGACTCTAGATTGGATTAGGGAAGCGGGGATCCATCATAGCGCCTGGCCCATATCCCCAATGGGTGTGGGGCCTGGCCGCCGTTGAGCAAACAGAACCGGCTCAACGGCGTTGCTATTATCCCTGTTGAACGCCATTGGTATAGTGCAGGAGAAGCAAGGCTTGTATTTCATAGGGCGCAGGGCACATGAGGTCGGGCAGATTTACCTTAGTATGTGTTCTGGGCCGGGTTCCATGGGTGGAGAGGGGAAAAAAAGGGCCAGCTCATACTACATTATGAGTGTGTGTGTGCCAAGAGTTTGAGTCACGTACGTATCTGTGCATATGTTTTTCGGTCTACAAGAGGGCGCGCGTTGCTAGTCCGATAGTGCAACGGTGTGAATTCCGAGGTCGGAGTCGGGGTAATAATGAACTTCGGAATTGGAGTGTATGTAGAAAACGCATCTTATTCTTTTTTTTGTATTGATTTGCTGCAGTCATGAATCGTAGGGGG